GCAAGATTTTATCTTTCCGGAAAAAGCAGCAAAATGAGAAAGAGAAGGCACGCACTTCAACAAAAAAGGAGCAGTGAGGTCTGTTTGAGGAGTAGGAAATTAGACCAAAAGCAAACAGTCTCTCAAAAGCTAGATTCTAGTAGCAAGCAGAAAAAATATTTAAAAAAAAAAATGCATAGTTATGTAGTCCAGCCTACCACCTGTCAGGGAATTACAAGAGGCAGATGGTTACCAAAAGGAACTGGGACAGATTCTGTTTCAGTAAAGGATTCTTCCATATTACTTTACACAAAACTATTCTTCATCGGATGCAGTACAGCTTCTTGATTTTTCTAGCAAGGAAGAAGACTGGTTTCTCTATGCCATGAAGCACAAACTATATTAACAAACATGCTAGATCATCATCCACAGCACGAAGATTAAATAAAGACTAAAACTGCAAACAGACCAATTTAAACTCCTCCCAAGATTACTTGACAAGTAAGTATTTGAAAGAAGAAACTGCAGAAGAACTCTTACGAAGACAGCACATCTACATTGTTAAGTATTTTTAGAAAATTAGTATCTTTTCATTTTTGGCTGACGTTTACTTACAAACATGTGTGTTTGGGCCTTCTTTTTTTTTTTTTTTTAAGCTGCACACAATGTCCTCTAACCTCAAGGTCTCATTGGAAGCTTTTGATTTCCTGAAGTGTTCACCCTCACTGTTCCACACTGTTGGGCTACAAGCATTTATCAGGACAGACTCCGAAAGAGTTGTTTGCTCAGCTCTCCCCTCTTCACTTACCTTAGAGATGATTTACAGTGTTATAAACCATATTTGTGCAAAGGATACTTATACAACATTTCCTTATTGCTGAATAACTCATTTTTTATTGTAGTTTACTCCTGTCAGCATCAGCTGCAGTTTAATCTTGAAAAAAATCATCTCTCTCTCCAAACTATTCTAGCAGTCCTCCATCTACCCTGCATATTTTGTGCCCCTGCCTCAGCATCACACTTCATGTCTCCAAGCTGGACGTGTACTGTTATCCTGCACCTTCCTGGTCTCTAACTGAAGATGCAGGAAAGGGACTGAAGTCCATTCAGAGAAACAAGCTTCTTTTAACAAAACACTACTGAGATGACAGAGCAGGATCACTGCTGGGCTGAGCTGCAGGACATTAGAACAAGAGGCATTCAGGTGACTTGCAAGACGTTTGTCCACTCACGCTACATGGCCGCATTCACTGTGGAGCTGGACAGGATTTTGGGACGTCATAGGACATCACTTGCACGCACATTTATCGGGCAAAAGGAGTATTACAGATACAATACATGAATTCTTAAAGGCCAGCTGGCCAAGAGCTTTTCACTGCACAGGCTTTCAAACAAAGCAACATAGAGAAGGCCCCAAACACAGCCCTCCATTGCCATCGTAAGCCTTCAGCCTTCATGAAGCTTATCTGCTTCATGCAGATAAGCAGTGACACTGCAGAGGAATGGCTATCACTAAGGCACCCTGTGGATGCACAGAGCTACGGCCCTACATGTGTCAAACATACGCCAGTATGAACATGCATAGCTACTTCTGAAGTTACTCATGTTTTACTTTGAACACCGAAACTGGCACTGTGCGTTTCAGACAAGACAGTTCAGTTCCCCAAAGGCTCTAATGTTCATTGTTCAAACAGCCAAGCTGCTGTTTCCTAAATGGTGAGATCAGTTTTAGTTCCAAACTGACCTGATTCTTGAAGTCTAGAAAGTCAATGGCCTTGAGAAGTCATCATCTGAAACCACTGCTGCGCTGATAACCTTAACTTCACCATAAAAAAAGAAAATTCTCGGAAAGCCCATTCCATTAAATTGTTTTAGAAAGCCATGGGAACATAAGGCTTGGGGAGTTCCTCTCTCTTTCCAGGGTTTCACTGAAGAGAGGCATCCTTCATGCACACAAGGCTTTCTGGAGAGACTGTCCACACAGAAGAAAGATGGCACAAGAACAGGCCACAACATGGGTCTAACGATTTTTCCCAATGCTACTCAGAGACCGTAAGAGGTTCAGAAAGGGAACCACCACAACTGCATTGCCAAGAACTTTAGTGGTTAATCAGAAAGACAATCTACCACAAAACCAAACAGAATCACAGCCTATTACCACCAAGGTCTCTTCCAGGTGACTTGCAGAACTCATCCCTAGTTGACAGCAGCCATCCACCCAAATCCTGTAAGCCAAGCTAGGTTTTCAATGCCTCTACAAAGCAAAATAATCCCTTGTAGATTATATACTCACACTGTACACACTCATGATCCATCATATCCTCTATGCTCCAGGAATAAGCCTGAGATTAACTTACTACTGACAGATGCTAGAAGCCATAACAAGGTTTGTAATTTCTGCGGATGGAGCAAGATTTTAGGGGTCACTGAAGGGTTGTTTGCTCCACACCCAAGCTCTCCATGTTTTCCTTTGCAGGTTTCACTTTCTGCAGGCTTTAAGGACTTATAGACAGAGAAGCAGTATAGAAGCAAGGGTATTTGCTCATTAAAGGGAGGACTCATTTTCTCCTATTTACACCTAGTTTCAAAGAGCTATGCAAGCAGTGGTGCACTTCACTTTTATGTGGTTTTAACTTCATTTAAGAATATATAATTTTTAAAGTTAATGAGAGTTCTTAACTGGCAGCCTCCTTTGCAGTTAATGACAACTGGTTTATAATGAGAATGATGCTCTCTGAGGAAAAAAGCTAGAACAACGTGAAACCTCTGGTCTCTAGTAGTCAAACTCCTCACAGTGCATTTATCTGAACTACCGATCACTACAGATGTTCTGGTTTCAAACATAGTATTTTCTAGATACAGAGAAAAACGTGCTAAAGGTTCTTCAGAACCTGAGGAGCTAGTTCAAGCTTAGGTCCAAAACAAGTATCCCAATCTATTTTGTGAAAGGAAAAATGCAAATTGAGCCCATACCTCAGTTTTCCAGTTCTAGGGCTGTTTTTTTACCTACGATTTTGAAATAAGGGCAAAACTATACTCAACTGAAAAAGCGTGCCAGCTAAGAACAACTAGTATGACTCAAAAAAACAACCCCAAAACCGGAGGTATTTGTTTATTTTTGAGGTATGGAGACATTTTGTGACTAAAGATTACACTGAATTTCCTGTAAGCTGCTTCCTTACATCATGCATAACACTTTCTTGAAATTCACACTTTTTCCCCCCTACAGACTCAGAGTAAAGCAGACTCATTTATGAAGCAAAAGTAGCTTTGCTAGTCAGAGAACTCCAGATAAAAATCAGTCACAGCAGGAAAAATAATAGTAGCAAAAACATAAGCTTTCCATACATAACGCTTCTTCTCTTTCTTCCCCTTCTCCCACCTACGCCTTGTTTCAGATTTGCCCTGTTCTTCAGCAGTGTTACTATTATCTACATGGGGATGGTTATCCCAGGTTAAAAATACCCCCAAGATGTATCAGCAAAGCACTGTTAATGCACACACCTGTAATAGCAAAGCCATGCTTTGCACTTTTATGAAACACGTATCTTCTTACAAAATAATCCATACAAGCAGAAGTGCAACTCTGATAGTCACACTGCATTGTGGCTCAAGAATCACAGTACCTGTCTGTCAAACCCATGCGCACATAAGCCTGTAATACTGCCTGGTGCAATGGGAAATTGCCCTCCATTGTGGTGGCTTTGATGCAAACAATTTTCTTTTAAGGGTTCCACTGACATCTGCCCCCCAGACTGCAGAACAAGTCACAGATGTGAGCTGCATTCAGCTGTATACAACTCCAGTTGTACATCGGGTGAAGGCCAGAAGTCCTGCATTTCATTCCCGTGAAGTGTGCCCAGCCCATACAGGAATGTTTTCCATAGTACGTACCTGTCCATTGTGGCGGGCAGCGGCAATTGTATGTGTTCACACCGTCCACGCATATACCCCCATTTTGGCAGTTGTGATTTGGGCAGTCGTCAACGTTGCGCCCACAGACGCTTCCCTCGAAACCTGGACAAAGCAGAAACAGAGCATGCTGAAATAGGCTTCCAGCCTCTTTTGAAGAGAATTCACCCTTCACGCAGCTTCCCCGCTTCTTTTTTTCTTAAACACTTGCCCTGTTAACCTAAGCCTGATGAACCTCAATGTAGCATGCTGACCAGAGGCTTCGTTGAATGCTTTTGCTGATAGCATGCAGGTCAGATTACACAGTTAGAACACTACTACCGCGGGTAGATGGCCAAACACGTTTTCACCACCAAAAAGACAGGGTATTTTTTCTTTAAGTGACTAATGAGCACTGTCATTCAAAGCAAACAAAGTAAAAACCAAGAGATTTAATTTACTATGAGGTAAACTCGTCACTGCCCACCAAGCAGCAGTTAGAGCACCACCCAGGACAAGTTTTTCCCATGGCAAAAAAATGCCTGGCGTTCACTTCATGAATACCTCAGCATAGTTCATATGCCTTGGCTACGTCAAAGGAAGATCTTCTATGCTTTGAAAATGAGCTTCCAAATTCCTGATTTGGCCCTTTTCAGTGTTAGAAAAGTCAGTCAATCAACAAGTCAGCCACCACCCAAGAGATGCTTACACACTAAGCCCTGACTGAAAAGCAGAAGAAACCAGACACGCTTCCCCAATGAACATCAAGGCTCCTAATGAACATAGCCACACTAGCAAAATACCCACGCTAGATCTCCCTCTCTCTTTTCAAATAAGGAGAATTGGGGACATTATGGAAGAGAGTCATCAATAATCCATCTCCCCTTGATTTTCCCTTCTGACTTACTTCATGCTTCATTAAATAAACCTGCCATTTCTGCTGGATGAGAGAGCTACTTATCAAAGCACAAGTGGATGCATGATAATGTGGATGAAGTAAATGATTCCAGAACACACGCGTTAATTTAAAACATCAGCTCTGCCTCTTCACTGCTTTGGAATGTAATATTAACATGACACAGTCCTCTCATCCAAAATTATGCTTTAACCCCTCTACTTTTGATGCCCTGTTCCAGACGCTTCCATAACATCTGTGTCAAGTCACATAGACCCTGTAAGCAACATCTGGTCCAGTGTAGATCGTGCTGTGTGGCAGATGAGAGACTGTGAAGCTCTGAAGCAGCTTCTCCAGACTACCACTACTCTCAAGAGGCTTGAGATGATTTGTATGCATTCCCGCCTCTTGAACTTCTCCAATACTACAGGTAAGAGTCAGAAGCGAAGAGGAGTGCTGTTGCTAAGCTGTATCAAGTGTATTAGCATCCATCGGCAAGGAAGAACACACCCAACATTAAAAAAAAAAAGAAAGACCTGCATTATTACCTTCTTCCTGCAAAGCCCTTCCCACCTTCACCCAAGCTCCTGCAAATTTCATGGCAGCAGGGAAGGTTAAAATGAAGAGGAAATATACCACGGTTAGTCTGAACCCTAATCATCATAGCAGCGCCTTCCTGGCAAAAGGTGCTGAGGAACAACTACCAAGGAATACAATTACTATCAGATCACTATATTTAGAACTGTATAAAGCTACCATGCATGACCAAAGGCTCAGCTGTAAAACACAGGGGTGTCCTATCAGCTTGCTTTTCAGCTTGAGGAGAATCATCCCACTGACCACAGATTGCGCTCATGCCAGCAACGTGATCAGCACGGAAATGCACCCAGAACCACGAACTCCAAAGGTTTAAGTTTCTATCCTTTCAGCTCGGACAATATGAAGACTTACTCTACTTTCTAGTAAACAAATTCCTGACAACAGGCATTTATTTAAAAATATCTCACTGTACTGCACACAAATGTAAAGCGGCCCAGTGATTTTAAGTAATAATAAAGCACGGAAGTCAGCCCAATACTAAAACCTCACCAAGCCATTGTACATTTTCACATTTTAACCAGCTATATTACCATCTAAGAGCTGCTCCTCAAGCATCTCATGCAAACATAGAAAACCATTAATCCCACACTAAAAGCTGGAGGATACCATTAGTGACAGTAGAATAGAAACGAAAAAAGTTTAAAAAAAAGGCGATGTAATAAAGGTTCAAGAGAAATGACACACAGCCAAGTGTGCTCAGTCAAAAGACATTTCCAAGGGAAAGGGAATCGGGAAGGGTTGAAATGGTGAAGATGACACTATTTTGAGTGCACAGCTGAAGAAAACACAAGTTTCCTTTTTGGTAACTTCCCAACTCCCAAATTCCCTTTAAGTTTGTCTTACTCTGAAGAACAACTTTGGCTTAGTTTCAGAACATCTAAAAGCTGTAACGGCATGATTTTTGTGTCCTCTTCAAGTCGAACTTACACTGCAATACTGCGATCTCCTTAATTTGTAAATAAAACTGTCCTAGTGAAGTTTAGCTTTCATCATTCAACCGGTCCTTTAGAGTCATGGTTGTTTGGGCCAACGCACCTACGTTTGAGCACGACAAGCGTGAAGCTGTTGAGACACACGAGCTCTTCTTAAGCTGGGTCCCAGGATCTGATTTTGCAGTTACATAACCTGACTCTTTTCCAGAAAGGCAGAGTTCGCTGTTTTGATGTATTTGGACACCTGACACTGTTTCCTGTTCCCCCCTGTGCTGGGACTCACATGTTGTCCTTTGCTTTCTCCCTCCAAGAGAACAGTTTGCAATACATATCCTGACTTTTGCTCCGTATCTCCAAGCACAGCAAACTAAGGAATGAGAACCACAAGGGGAAAAGCGTTCCCACTGCTAACAGCATGCTGTTCCTCCTCTAGTACACAGAGGTATGCAAGGAGATAACTTTACTCCTATGTCATCTGAAATCTCCAGCCCATTCCAGAATGCTGTATCCAATTCCCTCCAAATCTTAAACCTTAGCATTATTTCAACCTATAAATGACATCTCAGACTTTCTGCAGGACCAATTATGTATGGAGGCAAGAAATTATACCTGAATGAAAATGTTGAGTTATTGCCAGATTTAGGGCCTGCTGACGAGAACGTGGAGATCTCGACACAGAGTACTAAAACTGTCCTGCATCATTTTAACAGAGAAGTAAGTTTCTGCATACCAGGTGCCCAACAGCAGCATGCAACTCCGACAGTTCAGCTTCTTGAAATAAATGCGAGATGGGCTACTCCACATAAGAGAGCCAACTCACCCGGAGCAGAGAGGCATGCACGCCATCCGGTACCCCAAGACTGAAGAAGACTGTGCAGAACCTCACACCCTGCAGGAAGCGGCTCATCTCTCAATCCCAGCAAGCAGGGTCTTCTCCACCGCAGGAAATTCAGTATGTCTGCTAGACCCCACTCATGATGCTCGCTGCGCGGGGCAGTGTGACGCTCCGCTACAAACCGGTGTGAGGTTACTTCCTCTTCCCAGGAAGTGTTCCAGCTCTCATAAACAACCTGCACCAGCCTGACAGATCGTTTCCTGAACAAGCCCTTGGAATTCCCTAGGGTCCTTATCTTAGTTAATGGGTAATTATTTTGATGGATAACAATGAATAATCACTTTCCCAGCTAAGAACTTCCTCTATTGACTTGTTTAACATTCCATTAAAGGTTAGTTGCCAAACGAACTCCTTTTTTGTCAAATATTTATAACTACGAGCTCAGTCTTATATTTAAAGGAGTTGCTAATGCTTCAGGTTAAGTCTCTTTCACAGAAGTATTTTGTTTTTACTATGAGACTCTGTTATGATTGACCTAACATGCTCACTTGTCTACAATCTTGTTTTTACCTAAATCAACAAAGCCCAGAGGAAAAATGATTACGCTAGACAGATCGAAAATAAGAAGTTACCTTTCATACAGATGTAATACTGACAGTATATATAACTCTTCATTTACACTTACCACCAAATGCTGACTTCTTCTAATACACATGACTTCATAAATTACCTAATGCAAGATTTGTTTGTATAAATCCACAGGTGAAACGGGAACCTGAGAATTTAAAATAGCAGCTTGACTATACGGTACATAAACAGTACTTGTGCTACTGTAGAAAAAGCTGCTGTGACGTGTAACTCCAGGTTGTAGGTTTTTTCCACATTTTCAAACTCTCATTCTTATGTATCTATATTTACAAAAAATGAAATTCACTCAAAAGCCAACAAGAAAACATGTACAGGAAACAAGAACCCATTTCAGGGCCAGTCCAGGAGTAACCTAATTATGCCTAAATTGCTGCTTGGGCACAATCAGTTTCCTCAAAGCAGTTTCACAGATCACAAGACACAAAATCATACCAAAAACCATTCCAGCTGTGCTGGTTTTGGCTGGGATAGAGTTAATTTTCTTCATAGTAGCTAGTATGGGGCTGTGTTTTGGATTTGTGCTGGAAAGCGTGTTGATAACACAGAGATGTTTTCGTTATTGCTGAGCAGTGCTTACAGAGTCAAGGCTTTTTCTGCTCCTCACCCCACCCCACCAGCGAGGAGGCTGGGGGTGCACAAGAAGTTGGGAGGGGACACAGCTGGGACAGCTGACCCCAACTGACCAAAGGGATATTCCATACCGTATGACATCATGCTCAGCACATAAAGCTGGGGGAAGAAGGAAGGGGGGGACGTTCGGAGTTAGGGCTTTTGTCTTCCCAAGGGCATGATGGAGCCCTGCTTTCCTGGAGATGGCTGAACACCTGCCTGCTGATGGGAAGTAGTGAAGGAATTCCTTGTTTTGCTTTGCTTGTGTGCATGGCTTTTGCTTTACCTATTAAACTGTCTTTACCTCAACCCAGGAGTTTTCTCACTTTTACCCTTCCGATTCTCTCCCCCATCCCACCGGGGGGGAGTGAGCGAGCGGCTGTGTGGGGCAGAGTTGCCAGCTGGGGTTAAACCACAACACCAGCAGCTTGAGATGTAACCGCCTCCTGCCTCTATGGCCACAACGCTGAGCGATGGTACCATCTTACATCTTAAGGCAGTCCAGAAGGAAGGGCTAGAACAACTCCATTTATAGTCACAATATCATCGGCATTGCTCCAATTCAGAGAGGGAGTCTAAAGAGGAATTTCTAGTCCATAATCTTGGCACTCTCTTCCAGATGAGCAGGCCTTGTTCGCATCTTCCCTGGGCATGACAGGCCACCACTTCTCTTTCTGTTGACCTTTCCTTCCCAGACAGAACCTTTTCCAACACTTCAGAAATTTCGCTCTGCATGCTTCACTAAGGGGGAAGAAATGGCTGGGTGCCTTGCCTTTATCAAAGAATTTAATGTAAGCATTTTGGCCTCTCCAACCTCTCCCTTCTTTTGCTGTTTTTCAAATGACTAGTTTTAAAAATCAAGCTAGCAAAACACCATGGCCAACTTAAACAAATACAGGAAATACAGAAGTGAAGGCTCTCAAAGCCGCATTAACTCACCCCCACTACACACATTGTGTAACAAGTCCAAAAAAGCAGCTAATAATCCAAAACGTGTGTGAGCAGTGTGGGTGTGTAACTGTTACTATAGTAATCTCATTTTCATTTCCTGACCGTAGTTTAGCCAGCCCACACACTTGTCTAAGGGAAAATGTGCTCCTACCCAGTCTCGTGCCCCTGTAAGAGAATCAAAAAAGCAAACTGTCTTATCAGCTTTACAGGATCAAGTCCTTCAACCTTCATCTTCCTCTCCTCTTCCCTCCACCACACTGCTTCTGCATGAGATCTTAAACTCCTTGAACTGGTTAAACAGTTCTGACTAAGAAAATTCTGAATTTCTGATCAAGCCTGTTAATCCAGAGATACTTAGTTTACAATTTCATTTTAAAGAGATGCAAAGCAGAAAAGCGACAAATTCCCTGAGAGCAACTGTTAGTTAAGATATAGCATTTTCGAAGATCCTGTATATTCAAGCACTGTTTCTTCAAGCATAGTTAGAAATGGTTGCTTTCACACAAAAATGAAGATGATACATCTTTCTATTTTAAGATCAACTTTCCTAAATTCTTCAAAGTCACATGCTTGCTCAGACAACCCAAAAAGTTGTTGAGCAGGCACTAGCTAAGGTTGGCAATGTACACTTAAGGTCATTTGAGCTGACACTTCAAGATAAAGGTCTCCAAAAAGAGACTATTTTTCACAAGTTAAGTTCTAAATGCTCTTTCCGCATATACCTGTGACTCCAGATGATCCTCCTGAGAACGCAGTCACTCTACATTCATCCTAAAAAGCATATGGCAGCTACATCTTTCACATAAATAACAACAGAGAAATGCTTAAGGGAAGAGAGTTTACTTTTCTAGATTACCACACACCAAGTGTTCATGTGCCAAACTGCAATACACTTAAGTAGGAAGTCTAGTCAAAAGCATTTCCAAACAATCAGTTTCCCATGGACTGAGTTACTCAGTAAAAAAGCATCAGCCTAAAAAAAAAAAAAACCCTGATATGCAAAGAACAACTAGTACTGCCCTGTGGTCAGTATGACAAGTGGATGGGGAGGAGCAGGACAGGATGAGACCATCAGGGTCCCAACCAGGTGACATATCGCCATTTGTAAAGACGGGTGCCTTGGTGATTGGAGCCCAGCTTGACAAAACCAACACAGCCCAATACAGCTTACTCAGATCCTGAATAAGCACGTCACCCCTGCTGTGGATGAACTCAGGGCAGCTAATAGCATCAGAAAACAAGCAAGCATAATTTATCTGGAGGTATTGCAGGACAGAAAGGGTGTGGTGAGTTGGAAATGGTATCTCGTAAGATTTGGAGAAACTGAAAGAGAAAAAGGAAGGTAATAGAATGTACTATGTTTTAGAGGTAAAGAGTGAGAAGGAGGAAGACACATGTTCATTCAAACACTAGTTAATTGCGGCTTTTACTGACACAAAACTATGTATTTGTAGAGGTTTATGTTCATGGAATTTCACACTCCAAACAGGCATCAGGAGTTACCACCCTAATCTCCTTGAATCTACCTCATAGTTCTTACCTATTTGATTCTCTGCCTCTAACTGGGTTCCAAAGAAATCTGTAATTTCCAGCCGCCTTCCCTTTTCTTGCCTTCCATATTATGAAATCCTGACGCTCAGAAATTAACATCCTAGCAGAGCTTCCTGCCTTGCTGAGATTTCTCCCTTCAACCTTACATTACACGAATATCACACAGAAACTCCAAGAGAAGTTTTCAGAAGAACACAGACAGGAATGCAGTGACAAGACTACAAAACCAAGCACTTTGAAGAAGCATCATTTACCTGGCAGACAGTTGCACTCAAAGGTGAAGTCACTTGTTTGATGACAAGTTCCTCCGTTCATACAGGGTGATGGGGAACACGGCACATATACACTCTCACAGCGATGCCCTGTATAGTCCGGCTTGCACTGGCATCGGTATGAACCAGGCAAATTGACACAGGTTCCACCGTGTTGACAAAGGCCTGGTGTGGCACATTCATTCACATCTATCTCACACTTCTGGCCAGTGTAGCCAGACAGACAGATGCAGGAGAACTTATTTCCAGATACAGTACATGTACTTCCATTGGCACAAGGTTGAGATGTACAGGCATCAATCCACTGGCAATCCTTTCCTGTAGGATCAAGACAGAGCACTCCATTAATAAAAAGTTATTTCTATGGAAAATAGGATTTCCTTCTGGCTACCTCAAAATGATTGGTGTACTAAAACTTAAAATTATTACAGGAAAATTTATGTCTGCATTTTACAGTATTATATTTGAAATGAAAATCAATTTGTGGTTACACTACAAAGTCATTTTATTTACAGGGTAGCAGCAAGATATGGAATGTTGTGATTTATAAAAATGACCCATGACCTGAAATCATACTACACACTGACAGTCACGCTTCTTCTATATCCCCTTCAAGAATGAGAGGAGTGAGTTTCCATGCTTCCCCTCAGGCACCCAATTTTAGTTTTCCCATAGAAAGCTTTTGCTGGCCAAATTTACTTAATTTTTTTTCTAGAAGGTAGACTCTGAATTCAAAGTGTGACAGCCACTCCAGAGTAGCTTCTGCACTCAGTTTTCCCACATGGACAACCCCACAAGATCTAAATGTCTTTCTGCTTACGTGTAAAGGGTAGGGAGTTTGATTCCCTACCCCTCTTTGCTTTTTTTAGTCATGGAGTCATTTAGACAACTTCTCATTTCCTGTGCTGGAGCTAGTAAATTTGAGAGCTTATTACGACTGCCCCAGAACATTCCAGGATGAAGTAATTCACAAAGAAGGGAGTCTGGAGGTCAAATGCAGAAACCCACCTGTGTAACCTGGAGGACAGACACACTCGTAGGTTTCCTGGCTGTGGGGATGACAAGTTCCTCCGTTCAGGCAGGGCTGGGACACGTAGCAGAGGTGCGATTCAGAGTATTGACAATCCTCTCCTGTGAACCCTGGAGCACATTTGCAGGTAGCCTTTCCTATCAGAGACGTAGTTTCACAAGTTCCCCCGTTCTTACAGGTATTGCTTTCGCAGGGGTTTCTGTACTGACAGTAGTCTCCAAGAAAGCCTTCTCGACACCTGCAACAGAGAAGAAATTACTTGCAGCACATTCACCTGAAGCCTTGCTGCCCTGGGAAGATACCAGGAATGAAGTCCCATGACCACCAAAAGTCTTGGAATTTGCTGTAACTAATGGTAACGCTAACAGACCTAAATGCTAACGTCAGATGTAACATGGCCTTCCTCTGGGATTGTCCCAAACAAGACCACTGAAAGCTTAAGTTCAAATTGTGAAATCACTCATTACAAAATAAATAAATAAATACTGCATACAATCAGAGTTACATCAAATGCAGGAACTTATTCTTGCACTTCCCTTCAAAACTTCAGTAAAAGCCTAAGTGTTAAAGAACTGCTGACTAACAATTAATTCCTTGCATCTACTCCCATTCTAATATGCATCCTTTTTTAGAAGAAAATCAAGCAGTTTCAGTAACAGGTATTAACACTAGGTATTATCCATCTTCCAAAATATTTATAAACCTTGTACAAATGCAGTGTCTGAGGGCCTGAAGATCTGTAGCAGATCTTTCTCCACAACACTCCCGTGAGACAGGAATATACTGTTATCCTCATGTTGATAAGTGCATCTGGGACTGTGACATGCTGAAGTCTGCACTCAGCTAGCAGTGCAAGCCCTGAAGTCAGGTCTCCCACGCCCCTGGCTAGCACCCTAACGACAAGGTCATTGTTCCTCTGTCTTCCACAGAAAAACGAGTACACACACACTATCTACAACTAGGGTAATATTTTATACAAAGATATGTGATTGCAGAATAATTGCAGTTATTTCTCTCTAACCTAAACTTATGTCAATACAGTCTGACTACACTTGTCAGCTGTAATCCATCTTTTAAGTGGCCTTTGTACTACAAATTTTTCATTTAACTTCCAGCAACACAGGACCCAGGCAAGCAACCCTGCAATCCCCACCTTTGTGTCACCCACAGTTCCATTTGCTTCTTTCAGGTAGCAGAAAGCTGCAAGATTATATGCTGGATGAAAATAAACCTAACATACAAAGCAGGACTGTCCACTTGCAGTTTCTTCTATAGTGCACAGCTGCATGCTTTAACTGGTAAGTAACCCAAGATACACACAGCCTGGGAGGACATGTATTTCACTGCAGAAAATTCAGAGGTGAATATTAGATGCACCTTGTTCCAGAACAGGATAGGTGCTATTATTAAATCAATGAGTTACTCAAATCCAAAGGGAGGAGATTCCAACTGCAAGAAATACACAAAGTCTCTAGCTAGCCCCAAGGCAAGAATGTAACAATAAAGAGGCTGTTTCCTTTTCCTTATGCATTTAAAAGTGTATGGTGGATTGAAAAAAAAAAACCACCACCTAACTGGATAGGCCTTAAAATTTAGTTTAAAAAACAAAGAGTGGTCTTTGTTCCTATGCTATTCAACACTTCTATCAATGAATAACAATGGAAAACATCAATGCTGGTCAAACATGTAGGTAAAAGAGAAGACAAGTTCTTGATAGAGTAACACAAACTGCTTAACAAGGCAGTCAGCACACAAAGGGCACTTTAAGCACTCCGAAGTCATACATCTAGAAATAAAACATATAAAGCATCCTCCCCAAAACAGGAGACTGATGTGGGAAAGGCAGACTTGCTCTGGGGGTTCCTAACAGTCAGCTGAATGTGAATTCCTAGCGTGACAGTTTGGCCAGGAATACTTTAGTTGTACAAACAGCAAATAGCAAGTAGGAGTAAATGAGATTATGCTACACCTGATACTTGCATGGCACAACCATTACCAGACCATTACATCAGTTCTGGTGTCTGCTCTTTAAGAAGGAAGAAGTGAAATTAATTCAAAGAAGCCAACAGTAATGATTAATAGAAAACTTGACACAATGAAAAGCTCAGGTGGCTCAGTCTATTTATCAAAGAGAAAAGAAAAGGAGACAGTTAATCAAAAGCTCCAAGTACCCACAAAGAAACTCAGATTTAACAATAATTCCCAATCTAGAAGGTACAGGTACCACAGGACTGAGCAGTTAAAAGTTCAAGCTAGATAAATTCAAATTAGAGATAGGGTAGTATCTTTATTTTCAGACAGAGATTTATACACAGTCTCTCAGCAGTGAAGAGAAACAACTGGAACAACGTATTTAAGGTTGCAGTGGAATTTCTCCATCACTCACGCTTGTCTAAAAGAACACCAGGATTGGCTGTTTCAGAAAGAGTATGCACGCTAGTTCAAACACAGCTATTCAGAGAGGTTATTATCCAAGTTACGCAAGGGGTCATTACTAGATGACCACAACTGTTTTTTCTCATGTTAAAATTTATTAACTAGCTTTAGCCATAAATCTAAAGCAGGAAAGTCATATAATAGATGTGCATAATGGTAATTTACCATTCCCCACACCCAAATTAGGCTCCTTTCACCATACCTCAATACTTTCAACTTCATACCCAAGAACAGACATGAAAGAAGAATATTTTCAGGGCAAGGCAGGATTAATAAAGTTACAGAAAGCAAATCCTGAGACAATACCATTTGCAGAATACCCTCTGCCTCTTATGCCATCCTCGGTGTAACAGCTGAAGGCTGTCAGTCAGCATGAGCTGCTGCCACATCACACGAGAGGCAATCTTTGGGTATTCTGGGCCTAAACCACGACAGTTCTATAGGCTTCCTTTAACATCCCAAATCCTTCCTCGATACGGGTTAGAAATCAGTCCAAACGCCAGCGGGCTACAGCACGGCTTTGTAGGAGCTCGATCACACAGAAATCTGGCACCCAGCAAAGACGGCTGTGCCAGAAGCTGGAGGACTGCTCGACTCCCACGGCATTCAAGCCTGCACACGGTGCACTGGCTAGCTCTGCTCAGAGACCGTCTGGATAACTACTATTAAATCATGTTTCTGGACATCTATATGCAGCTGATGGATGTGTAAAGTCAAACTGAACTTCAGTCCCAGAAGGCTTACAAGATTTCGTTATAGGGATTTCTTCTGGTTTCACCACCACCAGTGATGGGGGGGTTCGGCAGCTCAGCCGTCTTCAGCATCAGCAGTACACCAAGCTCCTCAGACTAACAGCCGCAGACACAGGCACTTGTAGTTCTCCTTATCATGAAAGAAAGAGCAACAAACCAGAACTTCACAGAACTCCACCTAGGGCATCTTCATCAGGCAAACAACAGGCCCTCCAACACCACCCACCACTCCAACAAATACAAAATAAACCAAAACACACCTAAAAGAGAAGTCCTAAAGTGCTTTTTCATTGAAAGGCTGTAAAACAAACTAGAAAGTCTAGAGGAACATCTCACGTTTTGTCCACAAGCAAATAAACCACCAAAATACGCCTTCTCTCCCACCCCCCAACACTCAGGGATACTGGAAGGTGCACTTAACTGTTGCCCCTAGGTAACAGGGAGCAGGGAGCCTAAACACTGATTAAGAGTATTGCTGGTCTGATTTAAAAGGAAAGCCGAGACCTGTGCTCTAAGACGACACTCACAACCATCACCCACAAACGGCCCACCGTTTTGTACACAAATGTTCTGGTACAAAGTTGAAGAGCGCTCCAAGACCGGGCTTGTTCCGGTATCTTCTGAGGCTAATCAGAAAAACATGAGGGAGCACTCCAGCAGGGAACAGCAAAAGCTCTTTTAACTTTAGCTCTTTATATTTGGAAGGACAAAGCCTTACAGAACATGCCAGAGGGAACATGCCTGCCTGTGGAAAGATGGTAGGTCAGGTAAACAGGGCCCTTGTACCCACCATTTTGTTCTCCTCCTGGAGAAGTGCTTGGTCACACAGTTATGCAATTTTCCCCTCCGGCAATTCAGTGCAATCGTTTTTGAATGTTAAAGAACAAAAAACCTACAGTCCAGATTTTCAACCATGTCTCCTGTCATCAACATTTCTAGGCACAAATACTAGTAATTTAGTTCTAAATGTTGGTGTAGACAAAACTGCAAATATTTGCCCCTGATTCATGTTGGGCACCGCATTGTTTCTCTAAAAATAGAGGCAAACACGGAAAAAGCGGGGTCTAAGTCCAGACTTCTTTAAAGGATATGATTACCCTCAACAGCAACTCCAGCTTCCCACCACCCCTGCTCTGCTCTCATCCCAACCTACTCTTTCAAGTTCTTTTTAGGATTACAAAAAAAAAGCCACTTGTCTACAGAGCAGCTTAAAATTGTAGCAGTTTGTGTCAGCTCCAAATGACATGCTCAGAACAGGAAACCGAATCTTTCCCAAATAAAAGCCACTGTTTCTCCTCGGTTTTCCATCTAACACTCAGAAACAGAAAGATGAAGTTTGTTCTGGCACTTTCTGGAAGCACATGAGGTCTCTTAACCTACTTCAACAGGAATTTAATCTTTTAAGAACAAATTTCACATACAACTTAATTCAAATCATGATTTCTGAAAGCTAGAGAGTTTGAAATGGGAAAATGTCCTGTGGGCTGCATCAGCTATGCAGCTGCTTCTAATTAAAGCTTCTCCTTTACTCTCTCTGGGCTACTTTCCAGCACAAATACTTTAGTCAGAGCTCAGCCCATTTTTTTTTCCTCCTCCTTTTCAGCTCCAGCCTGCATTTGCCTTAGCTCAGGCTCTCATGGAGCTAAACAAGAGACGTAAAAACAAAATGAAGGTTTTTATCCAAATCTGAAGTATCCACAAATCCACAGAGCTGCATTCACTAACAACCTTACGCTACAAAGTGAAAATAGGAGACTCACAAAAGCTGCATTTTTGGCTCTTCTGCCACAAAACTACATTGAAGTTGCCTCCTAATACTTAGTTCTCTCTTGCTTTTAAAAGACTGACAGAAAATGTCTGGTCTGTTGGAAAAACCTCCTTATCTGCTGTACTATATTTGCTTGGGCACATTCATAGGACACTCTCTTCAAATGCACCTTATAGACTGTTTTAACCAGTCTTCCAGATGTTTGATTTTCATGGGAGTTTCCTATTCAGGCCCAGTGATATCATCTGGAGATGCACAGAAGGAAACAGATGGTTTTAATTTAAAACGTGAAGGGAAGAATTTCCTAGTAGTCTTGCTTCTCCCCCCCCTCAACCCAACACTCCCTTCACTTTGATTGGAAGATGCTTCAACAGACAAGGGGGGGGAAAAAACGCAGCCTGATGCCTAACGTGAGAAGGGTCTCAGCTATTTTGCTACAGACTTTAACCAGACTTCCCTCTGGCTCCTGGGTTCTCACTCCCACACCTACACCTCCTCTCAGGAGGGAGAACAGGATTCTCTGGTTAGCTTTACAAACGCTCCTTCCCATGTCTCAAGGCTCCCATTTATGCGTCATACTTTGAATGCAAACTATGGGATGGGACAGCCTCTCCGTTCTGCGTTTAAAGCAGTACACAGCTATTATTTCTAGTCCACGCAAAGCGCTTCTACAGTGCACCACTCCGCAGTATACCAAGGAGTAAGAGCAACCAAAGTCTGAATGGGCAAAGTTTAGTTCAGCTTTTTCAGACTATCAGAGCTCTGAACAGCTTTCGGTCTGCACAGGTAAATCACAACAGAAAATTTTGACCGAGTAACTCAAATCACCACTCTGTTCTCAGATTTGAAGCTAAAAGTGTGTGCACTCTCCCCTTTTTCCTCTGCCCTGGTCTCAAGGGTCTCCTTTAACTTCTGAAAGGAGACAGAAGGAAACGGGAAAGGGCAGCCCATTCTCAGAAAGGGACAACTTTTCAACTTTTGCATTTAGCCTCTTCTGGAAAACTCTCAGACCTCATCCTGCTACAAGGTCTCCTATGGGTATTCCCCATTCACGGGTCTAGGAGTGATTAGTCTCTCGAGATAGATCCTGAGAAGATATCTGCTCCAGTCTCGGAAGCAGTTCTGCAGTCTAGGATCTTGCCTTCAGCCCCAGAAGTCCTCTTAAATCTGAGCTAAAATTCATTTATGAAGATCCAGCTGGAAAGAACATTAGGTCTAAAACCTGGCAAGGGGGTTGGAGTTACTGGGGGCTGGAATTGGGGTAGAAGTCCCTTATTGCCATGCTGTTGCTGCTTTGAGTTTAGCACGCTTTGAGGTCCTCCTGCTGCCACCCTGCAGATACGAGGTAAAAACTGTACCATGCAATGTAAAAGTGTGCACAAACTTCTGCACTCAGTGAGAAAAACACTGCTCACTGAAGAGGCACAGAGGCACACAAAGCTGCACAGAACCTGACAGCTTTGGGCACAAAAGGATGTGCTGAAGGAGACTGTCCTTTTGGAATTGGCCAACTTCAGCAGACTCCACCTTTGACTAAGCACAGCAAGCAAGCCATGGTTGCCACTGTACTTTTTTTTTTTTTTTTTTTTTTTTTACCATCAGGACCCAACAAAAGACACTAGAGTTTAAGCAGTACTTTGGTTCATACAGAGGTACCAATATCCCTTTTGGGCACACAATGTGCAACAGCCCTAAGGTCAAAAAATCCAATCTTAAAAACCTACAAAGCACGAGAAGTAGCAAGGCCCAGTTTCCTCCCTAAACCTTGGAGCACCCCTACCCCAACTCCCTTCTCACTTCTGCTTCTCGCCCTGGCACAGTCTTGCTTCTGCTCCCTGTCACTGGGGAACAGGGGAGGGAAGTTGGGAGAGGCCACAGCTGCCAAACGTGGGGAAACCAGTTAAGATACTCTCTGCTTCGGGGCCCTGCCCCACTGCAAGAGGGACTGCCCAATCCTGCATCCACCTGCAGCAGAGCAGACTCTCGGCTCGGAAAAGAGCGGGCAGCATTGCCAAAATCTCTGCTCTGCTTGTCCTTGAAACAGCTCCCTGTACCCACACCTTCTCAGCCTGCCTGCAACTGCAGAAATACTGCAAGTTAGCAGTACTATCCCACAGACTCTTCCTACTACTACTTTCCCAGTCATCTGGCCGCAGGGAGATGAGAAAGGGTTTCTCTGTGATGTTCACGATTAGCGTTAAGCAACAAGCAACTGTTACCCTGCTTCTCTGCTGGGTAGGAGAGAATGCAAGAAGGCTCCTTCATGCCTTAATGTCCAAAAGGCTGCCTCGAGATGCTTGAGGGGGAGAACCCACAACAACAACAACAACAAACACCCCACCACGGTGCAACACAAAGCCAAACCCCAAACTGAAACTGCCTTTTGTCAAAGCAGGACCCAGAAAGCTTGGAATGACAGGTCCCCTTTGTCCTGCTACTGCAGATATTCCAGGCCATATTCCCTGGAATAAGGTCTGTCTCCTCACCATGCTAGTCACTGAATGGGTGCAGAAAGATCTCTCAAACAAAAATTCTGACCTTGGAAGATGCAAACACAGGAACGTGTAATTTTCTAAATATAAAATCAAGGTCAAAGGTGGTCAGTAATTCTATCAAACAGTGCCACAAAATGACAGCCATGGGCCAGCAGCGTCACCAGGGGAACGGAGCTACTTAAAGGGCGCTCGCAAGAGCAATCTGATAAAGATCCAACTCTGATTTCCTTACAAGGGTCACAATCGCTGTTCTCATAACAGAAGCCAGATGCACCAGAACAAAGTTTTTTTAGCAGAAAACTAGCTTTCTCTTAATGGAGTAGACGCTACAGGATTTTCTGACAAAGAAAGCTGTTTCAGCACTAAGCTGTCACTTGCTGCTTTGCCAAATATCTAAACTAGATGTTTTGCTTATCAGTGCTTACGTTACTCATGTCTTATTCATCACGTCTGATTATCTCTGATACAGGTTCTCCCTCAGCTGTTCGCTTTTTTCTTACAGACAGCACAATTAACAAGATGGACTGACCACACACTAGAACAAACAACTTGGCCCAGAGGAGGTACAGAAAGAGGAAGAGAGCCTATTATAATAACTTATTGCCCAGCAGAGGAAGTACTGCAGAAAACTTGAAAAAAGTGGAAGGGGTGGAGATTTAGATAATCAGTGAGTGATCCTGCAGAGCTAGAAGCCAAGCCACTTGCTTCAGTAATAAGTTCAGTTTCCTGAACAAAACATTTCTACTCTTACAGCCATCAAAAATTCAGAAAGTCATTTAGGTTACTACACCAGATAGAAAGTTCCCCTATTCAGAGTTCCTCATAGTGCAGGAAAGAAAAAAAAAAGTTAAAACCAAAACAGGATGCTAAGAATCAGCCTGCTAAAGGTAGAGTCTCCACAATTGAGAGTTTTTTGCTATTTTTTCCTTTCTTTCTGCAAAAAAGAGTTCTTGAGCCAGAACTAGAAAACAGACACATACTAATCTCTGTATACAGGCCTCTATTAGCCTTTCCAGTTACTCTGGCACCTGCAAAGGGACCGAGCTGTTACTTGAGGGAGGGGTTGGCTTAAGACCTGCAAGAAGACTTTGCACAAAAAGGAAGAAGGCAACAGTAGAATTATAAATAACTGTGCACTAAAAAAAAAAACGTAAGAGTGGTCAAAGCTGCCACTGTAATAAGGGAAACGTGTCAAGATCTGGACTGCACTACAAATACTGAACGGAAGTTAATCAGATGAACCAACTACTTTTTTTTTTTTAAATACAGTCTAAGACATGATTAAGAGGAACATGCAAGTTGGAGAAAACATCCTTAGGGAGGTACAACAGCACCAACACCAACACCAGTCTTGTTTATTACCTTTATCATGACCCACATACTTTGGCTCTAGACTAACATGCTTAAGTATGCGTCAGAAAGATCTACTAACATCACACAATTTTGTGTTTCAGCCCTAAAACACTGATGAAAAGCAGGAAAAGTTCCAGCTTTCTTTTCAGAAGGGCAGCTCATTTCTGTTGACAGCAATATAAAGCCATGGAAAGGAAAAGACTAGGAAGCAGTAATAGTTAAAAATTTGAAAAAACAACAGGGAATAACAAGTTACATATTTGCCTTTCTATGGCCTTTCTGCACACCAGGTATTGATTTGAAACTGAGAAGAACCTCAAATTAGATTATGATTTCCCCTTTGTGTGCCACAGGTGCAATTTAAGTATATCGAGTTTTATGTACCACATTAACAGAAAGAACTAAAGGTTGCAGCGAGGGAAGATGGATGTGTAGAAAAGGGTGAAGAGCGGAGCTGTGTGTTAGCCAAGCTAAATCAACAAGACAAAATTCATTAATATTTAAAGAATGTTAGCATTAAGAAAAGAGGGATTTAGCATGCTATAAAATGGTAGAACTTTCACTGATGAAATAAGCAGAGTTTAGAAAATAATCCATTTCCTGCAGACATGGTAAATTAACCCTGCCAAACAAGTAGGATTTATCTTTTCGAAAAATATCACTTCATTTAAAAAAAATCTAAATACTGCAGTTTGAAAGGTGAACTGCATTTAAATACATGGGATATCATTCTCCAGACACCACACACTTCACCAAAGCTCCTGCTGATCAGCTTTCCATGCAGCAGCAAAGTGAAGGCACCATTGAAGATGCGTGTCAACATTTACCAAAATCAATTACGTGATAAAGACAAATGTGGGTGTTGGTTTGGGGTTTTTTGTTAATTTGTTTTTGCAACTCCCACATATTACTTGCTCTCCAGCATGTGGAAGGAACAGGCACGCTTCAGAGTGCAGAGTAGTTCTGAAAAACCTCATAAAAATATTCAAATTGGAGCTGAAGCTCTATAAAGTAAGGCAAGCTATAAGATGGAGAGCAAGTTCCAACTTAACTTGTAGGTCTGGAAGCAAGGTAGAGTTTACCTCTGTGATCGCTTTGGCCTCGCTTCCTAACCTAATGCAAAGAAATCAAACTGACAAGATCCAAACCCAAAAATCTGAACAAGAACTCCAGATTTCTTACGTTACAAAAAGCTAGCACGGAAAAACTAACGTATTATCAAGAAACACCAACCGGGCTAAAATAGTTACACTGAATGCACCCGATAAGAAAACCTTAACAATTCACATTTCCTTTCTGGCTAGGACCCTGAATGAAAGAAGATTGGTAATTAAATTGATTAGAAATGAAACCGACTTACTTGCAATATCCTGTACCATTTTGATACGGAATGCACTTTCCCTCATTAACACATGGCTTGGAATCATCCATACACTGCAAAGCTGAAAGAAAAGAAAACAACAGTCAAATCAGTAGCCATACATGTCAAGTCAAAGCTTCATTAGCATATTCTAGGGAATTAAAATCTTATAGTAGAAAATTTTATATGACTGGAACAAAAACAAAGACACTATCACATAGTTTAGTTTAATCTCTGGCAGCATCAAAAGAGCCGGACTGAAAGAAGAATCAAATACAGATTTGTTCATCAGGCAACTAAATGTTTCCAGAATTTCTTTCAGGTTTCTTTTCAAAGCAAAGCATGCAGTAATTTCAGCAAGCTACAAAGACATTCGTGTCAGCACTTGCATATTTTGGGTTAAGTGTCACCAATTACTACTTTCTGATCAAAATTCTGGCCTGAAACTCTCTGAAATAAGAGGCAATTACTCCCAAGACTTCTTTCACAATATTTTGTCTCGAATTCTTTCCTTCTTTTCTACTATCTCTAGGGACATTTGGCACTGAAATAGGGGCATCTCTCCCTCATAAGCTCACCTGCTGTACATTTTAGCAATCCAGAATTTGCTGCAACATCATTACTGCTGTTGCACTCTGATTTCGGTCAGGATTGTTTTGGGAGTAAGTGAAAACATCAGAGATGTTAAAGACTTTCAGCAAAGAATTTGGTATTTCTAAGGAGGAGATAGCTCAAACGACATTTTCAGTATTATGTTTTAAAAAAGGCATTAGGTATGACACAGTTCAGGGCTGGTCAATTTTTTATCGAAGTCTACTGGAAGTTCTAGTGAGACCCGTTCTGATGGAAGCAACACATCAGCTCTAGTTCTGGCAAGTGCTCGTCTCTTCACGGGGACCTGAAGCAGCACGCCATGGCTATTTCTGAAGTGACCACAAGGGTGAGAACTATGGAGACCCTGCAGAAGCAGAGGGCACTCTAGAACCACAAAGATGTAGCCAGTCCACCTAGACCAGAGCCTGCCATTTGAATGGCACCAGACTGGTGGATAAAGCTCTCGGAACCAGAAGATTTGGGTCCTATCCTAATCTTACCCACATACCCAGAAGTCACATGCTCCTCCCAGCCTCCAGTTCTGTCTGCCAGCCCCCAAACACACACACTTAAGTGCCTTTATGGACCCTATTTCAACCACCTTACTGCATTTGGGAAAGCATTTAACCAATCTTAGTTAAGGCACCTAGAAGCATTAATAACATCCAACCACCTAAACTGCCTGCTTGTGTACCCCCTCCTGTACGGCACATTGCTTTTGTTTTTTTTTAAGCATGGTTTTTCTTTCCTCGAGAGGTATTAAATTTTCAATACAAATTCAGCAAGGGGCAGAGAAAACTGGTCCAAACCACCACTAAAGTTTACATGCTGGTGACTAAGGAATGAGGCTCAGAAACAGAAGAGTTAATGCATCAGTCCCACTAAGCTCTCCCTGCAACCAGCCCAAATTCAGTCCAGCAATTAGGCAGCTTGGAAAAGACTCCAGTTACTGCTATCCACGGCTTGAAGTGTTATTTCTCAATAACCCTGGAGCACGTAAACAGGTCACATGCACTACGAGGTACCATAGGAGCGTTTCACACCTGCAATCCCTATAGAGAATACAGTTAAATTAAACGCAGTAGCCCAGGAAAGTTATCAGTATTTCCCACAACACGAGTATGCCTTTTTCTGTTAACTTGATTTCTGAAAAAGGGGCACTTGGATGGCGCTGCTTCCGCAGAGCTCTCAGGAAATGAACAAAATTCCACTCTGAGCCCCTTTCAGATAACCCCTGAGGTCAGGGTTACTAAGCGACAGAAATATTAACACAGATTTTGCACGGCATTCCCCCCCACAGCGGTTAAAAACACTTACACTGATTTGCACCTGTCTGACAATTTTTATCCCATTTAACGGCAACACCCACGAGGCTTCGACTCCAAACTTCATCTGCTTCTGTCTAACACTACAGCAGCTTGTTTTCACAGCACAAATTAGCTCCAGTTAGCATAGCTCAGTTACGCTGTGTTCAAGAGAAACTGCAAAAGGACTTGCAATGATTCGGACTTCTCTTACCACCTATGCTACTCCAGGGAAATGGAGGAAGGTTAAAATGAGCCTTACCACGTTTCAGAGAACCAGGAGGGGAAGCAGACTTGGAATTCTCACCTTACTACCTTGAATTTTCATTCTTTTCACACCAATCAAGCCAGTGAAGCAAATACTCAGAGGATTATTTCTTTTGTGCCTATGCTTTCAAACACAATTTTGTAATCTCTTCGAGTACCCGTGTCCCCAGTGAGAACTTAGCAGCCAGCTGATTTTGTAACCCGCATAGTAAAAGCTTAACTAGCACTTGGCCAAAAACACCTCCCGGCACAACTGCACGGAGGGGAAGAAGAGGGTGACAGCTTTCGGGGTCACAGTAAGGATCCGAATCAGTGATTCCTGTTTAGCTTGCTAGGCCAAATACAGGCACAGCAGAGAGGCTTTAGTGAAGTAATGATTAATTTTCTCCTGGTTTTTGACAAATTATTCCTGCCTTGAACTGCTGTTTAGCAGGTCATTAAACTACTACTAGTCCTTAGAATTCTTTAACAGAGACACATAGTGAATGGGGCAATGCAGGCAGCTGAATATGTATCTTGTATATGGTAAGTTAGAAGTGAAAGAAGCTAAGAAAATAAAAGCAAAAAGACTCTTTTGTGCTTTTTCAGCTTGAGACTAAAATAGGTTGAATAGAAATACATTGAAATGCAGCTAAAGCTGAAGTGAACGTAAATGTAACCATATTCTATAGGAAAATGAGTATTAAAAAGTAACATAACCACTTCTCTTTAAAATAGAAATCACAAGGGAAATTGAAGACTACAGTTCTCACAGTAAAATTAGCATTTCTGTGCACAAAAGCACTGTCTTCCTGTATTTCACGATATCTTTAACAATTTCACAATGCATGCAAAACCAAGGTATTTCAACATGACTTACTTCAAAAGCTACTCTTCTGATACTCTACCATGTTGTGCTCAAGAGTTAACAGTATCAGAAACTTTACCTTCTACCTCAGCCAATAAAAAAAAGTACATTTCGCTACATCCAGTATGTTAACTGGAAATACTCTGTTGTGTACAGCATGAGAGAAGACAGCTTTGTCTTGAAAAGACAAAAGACACTTTTCTAGATGCCATATATAGATAGCATCAGCATGCTGTCAAGGCTTTGAGTCTAACAGGCTGCTTTTGACAGTTTTCTGCTGTGTTTAAAAAACCAGCACTAGTGAATTATTTGTTGGTTTTCTGGACTTGTTCTAGCTTGCCAAAACCACCAAGACTATCAGAAGCTGGGTTAGCCCAGACCAAGTGCAAGCAGCGATGTTTCAAGTCCTCGCACCCTTGTGCAGCGGAGGGCTCGCTCGGGTATGCCAGCAGGTCTTCAAGGGGAAAGCCCATGGCTTTTGAATGTATCGAACCGCCTCATGATTTTTATCAGTCCTTCTGGGCATATTACGGGAACATTGGGAAGACACCCCACGACTATCGAAAGACTGGCTTCTTATGAAGTGGGCAGGCCACCACTTTGTGAAAAACGTACCCAATTTCTAGTATGTGTCGTAGCCAAGTTTGAAGGACTTCTCGGACGAGGGCTCTAAGTGCATGTGAGAAATGTTACTAGCTATACTACCCAGCCTGGAGTCCTTACAAACCCTTGCACATGCCTGTATTTAGACACAAATTCTAACCTGACGTTTAACTAGCCTACCAGGACTATTTTCCACGGCCAGAGGGAAAAAACAGGTAGCCGCTGCTATAAAATGAGCACAAGCAGAAAGCGTTACTTGCAGAAACACTATAGGAAGTGCTGTGATTCTCAACATCCGAATCTACCAAAGCTCACAGTTAACTGGAGTACAATTTCACCCAGATTTAATCTTTTTGGCTAGAGAGATAGTTAAAGCAAATCTAGGAGAAAAAGAAAAGTTGTGTTTCTGCCTCATTGTTCTTTAGGATGCCAAGATGATCTGGAAGTTGTGATTTGGTTTCTATACTTTATCCGCCCACTATAAATACAGATACTTTCTAGGCTAGAAAATTAAAAGAAATAGTGAAGGATTAAGATCAGAAGCTGTAAGTGTCAGAGTTCAGCTTTTAAGAGAGAAGGCTGCTATAGGGAAACAGAGCCATAACCAGAGAAAATCTGAAAGGGCTTTGTTGTAAATACTAAAAGGAAAGTAATGCCAATAAACTCCTCACCCACAAGTTCAGAAAAAGTGAAGCAGAAATAAAAATGCAAAATACCAAAACAATTAATGCTGTGAGGAAGAGACGTTATAAAGCTGGTTTCCTGTAGCTTTGTGGTTGATCATCCCGCATCTAAGAAGGTGCAGGCTCTGACCAAAGGTTTTATTTTAAATAAGGGGAGAGTGATATTCTGGCAGAGAATACAGCTGAGCTGGTGGTACAGCTTTCTCCTTGGGAGGACACTATATGGGTCTCTCTCTCTTCTTCCTGTCCATAAATTTTCCATTAAGTTCATAAAAACTCAGTATCTTTTAAGAACCTAGACCTCTGTCATACTTGGTTGAAACTTGTCCATAGGTTCAAAAGCTCTCCGTGGGAGAGGGTGGAAAACAACCTACTTGAACATAGAAGAAAAATGAGGCTAGAAATACATTAAAGACTAGAAAGAAAACTAAAGGACAAAACAGGTTTCAATAACCTTTATGTAGTCAGTGGATTTTCTGTCTCGATTGACATTCATGAGAAATACATGTCATTTCAACTGGCTTACCCATTATATGTGAAAAAAAAAGGAGGAAAAAGGATTCAAAGCCCTCAAACAGCAGCAACACAGGATGGATGGGGAATCCTTACGCAAGCTCAGGCTGCTTGCCAGAGGTGGATCAGCTCTGAAGAGGAGACCATCAGCATGGTCAGAAACACCAGCTATGCTACAAATCAAGAGGTCTCAAATTCCACAGGAGCGAAAACCAGCTTCTGACTCCCTTCAGGAAAAATAGAGTGTGAAAAAAGAAGCTAAGAGAAAATG